GGTATATGGCCAAACAAAGAATGAGTGTGGTAAATACCAATAAGCTGTAGAAGTGGAATGGTGCTTATAACACATCACCTGAGAGTGCCAATGTACATATATACAGAAATACTTTCTGCTAAAGAAGTTTATGGCCGGAGAGTCTTTAGTTTCCCCTTGAAGGTGTCACTTTAAACTCATCTGCCTAGTTTTTACATTGGTTGCTATGGTAACCAGCTGGCCTATCTTTTTACCATGACAACCAGCTGTGAGTCTGTATCATCTTTTATCTCCAACCTGGGATGACATCCTCTCTTCCCCTGTGCAAACTGCCCATCACATCATGTCAATTTCATGCATTTTTACAATACAGGTTAAATGAATTTGCTATTTCCTGACATTTCTGTATGATTAATATTACTCTTCACATGGACACATTTTATTTCTTGACAATTTCTCTGGTAAAATCTGGATTTACTTTCAAAAAAGTGACCATCATATCCTGTCATGCTTTCCTTTTTCATCCAGAGATAGTATCCTGCTGTAATAGCACAGATGTCAGTTAGTTGCTTTTTGCGAATCTCTTTTTGTTTGCCTTGTTGCTCTGGACTGGATTATGTCAACGTATCATGGGAGGTTTTTTGGAAGAAACTTTCAGGTATCTGTGTAAACAATATGCTCCTACTTATTTTTAGTGGTTTTTAGTAATTTTTAGATTTCCTTATAGGATTTTGAGTTTCCTCATTGATTTTCAATGATATTAGAGGTTCATATTGGGATAAATGAGAAGTTGTTATATGCATGAGTTTGTCTATCATATTTTGAGCTAGACAGTTTGCAACCTTCACATTCTTGGGTCTTTCAAGGGTTTTATAGTATGGCACAGGACCCCAGTATACCTATCTCCAGCCACAACCTATCAACTGTTTATTTTATTTTTGCCATAGTTTGAACATGTCTAAATGCACATTAATGTTGCGCAAAATTGATGAAATAAAAAATGATTGACAATGACTGATTCTATTTGCTAAAAATGTTTCTACCACAAGCTAAATATTTCTTGGTGAGAGCCCTGACATTTATAGCAATAAATAACTGATCCTTGTTCGTATGCATTAGTAGTTTTGCTTTTAGTCCTTGTGTGGGCTCACCGCCCTCTAGACTATAGATTCTTAGAAAAATAGAAAATAACCGTTTTTGCAGTTATGCAGGGAAATGTGAAATGTGGAAGCAGGTATAGATGTAGGAGCCCCACTCTTGAAGGGTGATATTCATTCTGAATTATCAGAATTATCTCTGAGCTTATGATGCCAGAATGAGAGTAGAAAATATGAATACCACAAAAGGTAATACCAAGAAATTCTACAGCAATGATGAAATAAAAAGTTCTATATAATAATGATGAGTTGATCTATGTTATTCAGTCACAAATGAATTGCTCTATATGTTAAATTAACTATGAGATAATAACATTTGGTAGTGTGCTCCAAATTACCAATTTCATTTAATCCATGATTTACAATATGTCAACTTAATATCGTCGTAGTAATTTAGAGGAAATAAAGCAATAGTAGCAACAATCAAGTGACATTCCAATGGATGTCGACTATGACCATTTTGTAAAATTGATTTGTCTCCAAGTTAGTCGGAACTTAATAGTGGGTCTTTTCTAATTTCCATTATCCTGCTGCTCAGGGGTTAATTTATGTAAGATGAAGCTCTCTTTTCAATAAGTGAAACCAAAATACATTTATTGTAAAGGGTACTTTTTGTTAACATCTGGGAGATCATCTGCCCTGTGGCTGAGAGGTCTGTACTAATTATTATACATACTATTGTAAATAATGCTCTCATTTATATAAGGAATCATACTTTTGGAAAGAGTATAGATTATCTCATCAAGTTCCAGAGAGAGAATGATGATGTATCAAATGTATCATCACATTGTTCTTTGCATATATGTCAATGATATATTCATGTTGAGGTTGGTTTTGCTTACTACTGCAGTGCTGCACGTTTCAGAAAAATGTATAGCTTGGGAAGGGCATATGAACATTTATTACAGACATAATCCAGATGTCACACTAAAGTAAAAATATAATATCAAATATAAAAAAAAAATACCATTAAACATTTATAACCAGCTTTTTTTAAGTTAGATAATTTCTTTTATTTGCATATAAAGGCCATGAATATTGTCCACATTTTACTTTTATTGTTTTCTGATGTCAGAAAATGTCTCTATGACTTTAAGTCGGTATGCATGATTTTACTGCGACCAAGTTTGATAATCCTCTAATCTCATTGGTCACATAAGGTCATGTGGTATTCACCAGATTACCTTCTGTGTTTTGAGACATGGGCCACAGGAAAGAGTAATCCAACACCAGAACATGTCATTGGTACCTGTTACACTGCTTGGTTGAGTCTAACGAAGCATTTTTGTAACGAAGGTTAGCGACAAAATTGTGTCCACACTGGCTTTATCCAACCCTAACGAAGCAATTATTTGGTGTTACACTGCACTTAAAATGCTTCGTTGCGCGTGCGCATTACTCATCTGCCCCACCCACTTATTATGATTAATATCTTTATTCTTTTGATATAAACAATTGATGAAACTCAAAAATATAATTTTTAATCTTTATTTTAACAATTCAGCACAGAAAAAGACTAGATCAAAATTCTCGGGAAAATAAAACCAGATGAATGTGATCATTCCGTACACATGTCCATACATTTTTCCTATCATTTCGATTTTTATATATTTCACCTGTCAATACGATTACAAGTATTGTTTTCATTTTCAATCATTTCCTTTGGAAAACATATGGAATAAAAATAGGCCTATGTTAATTACTAGGAGGAATTGGATTTGGGGTTTATACAGAGGACTAGTATGTAATATCGTATAAAAACGTTCAATTTCCAAATGGACTTCTCAGTATATTTCAAATAGTGTAGCCATTACTAAAATATCTTGGTGTTCGGCTGGTGGTTTAACTACTATTTCATGACCAATTCATCTTAATATGAATATTACCCGTTTCGCCAATATTCCATGCATATTTGAGTGAGTTTGACATAAATTAGTATGTTAATCCATCAGCCGTCCGTTGAATTCGAAAATGGCGCAAGGAAGAAACTTGAATATCAGTTGTAAGCATCGTCTTACGACACATCAATAGTGTTTGGGGCTGGCCTAAAACATGCAGCCTCTCTGTGGCAAATATCTGTCGACACGAAACAATTTTGGCCACCGTTCCTTGTCCGCGGGTGGTTTTACCGTATTTGTATACGGAAGTTTTGAAACGTAATTAATTCAATATATTTAAACATGAAGTTTAAATTCAATTACAATTTAAAATCGTCGAAGAATAGAATAATGGAACGACTAGTACAAGTATTGCAATGGGGCGATAACCAGTTGAATACGATTTCTGAAGAGAGACATTTTCGAATCAATCAAATCGGCTAAATTCACCTGATGTGATTCACCGGGAAGCAATTGTATCAGTATCATGGTATTAACACCTTTAGAATTACATTCAAGGTATAATTATTCAAGGCGCAAGAAAAAATTAATATTAAACATGTATGCCACAACTTTCTATTTAGTAAGCATATCTTATGTAATTTCAAAAGTTTACCCTTCCACACTTGAGACGGAGTTTTCCGAAAGAGGGACATTTAAATATTCTAGGTTTATTCTCAAATAGATCAGATAAACGTTTCAAAGCTACCGTATACATATATACGGTGAACCTGAGTTTTTTAGATTTAATACTTTTTGTCATATCAATGCGAGGAAAGGCAGGGAATCGAATGAAATGCTACGAAAGACGGTAAATCACATTTGTACGTGGCGTTTAGGGCTTGAGTTAGCGTCAATCAGTGACGCAAATAGGTAATTATTTTAATCAAAACGTGGCATTATAATGATACGTACTTAAAAACATGTTCTTTCCTCGCAATTCCTCTCATTTAATATAAAATGATGAATGTGCTCTTTGTTACGCGCATGCGCAAACCGCCAACTAAGCAATTTCTAACGAAGCTACCTGTTACACAGGCCAAAAAAGCTTCGTTGGGACCTAACCTTCGTTGAATTTTCTACTCAATTGCTTCGTTATCAACTAAGCTTTTCTAACGAAGGCGGAGGTGTTACACTGGCCCAAAATTGCTTCGTTACGAAGCTTTTTGTCAAATTGCTTCGTAACGAAGCATTTCAACTGGCCTGTGTAACAGGGGTCATTATGTATAGCCTAAAATAGCCAGGACACTCTTTGAGCCCCTTTGACACAACTGTTCCTAATTATCACTGTCCACTTCCTAGAATCTGCCATGCTATCAATTACTTAGGAGAGAAGTTGGTAAGTCAAGGTTCGGTGTCCAAGAGAGGCCGACAGCTAGGCGCCAACAAGATTAGCAGTAACTGAAACTGGTTGACAGAAACAGGAACATGTGACATCAAAGATGGATCATTAATCCCATAATCCCCATCACCTAAGTTGATAATTACCATCATGTGATTCGTTAGTTGAAGTCACATGATATGTTTCTATTTGGTTTATGTGCTATGACACAGTATGTCCTTATAGTTGGTAAGTGATGCCAGAACAGAAGCTGTTTGTTAGCCAAGGTGGAGGGTATGAGAGGTTGAAATAAGACACTTTATGAACCAGACTACTTTGACAATTTCAAAGTCAAACAACACGTCAACTTTGAAGCTTTGGATTAATACAGTAGGATCGTTCATCCAATATCATTGATAATTGTTTTAGATCATTAAAAAAGGAATAAGAATAACTCTTTGGATTATCAATAGTATATACTGTATAAAAACAAGGATTTTGAACAGTCACCAAAAGAGGTTGATTTATCAGTTAGTAATTAGGAAAGTTGTCTGAGACATCAAGGGCCTGCATATCTATGTAGGCAACCATTGCTGTGGTTACCACTTTACCAGTGTGTCAGTCACTCACCTAGTCCACTCAGTCAGTCAGGTACACCAGGCCACCATGTTGAAGGATGTGGAGCTGGAGGAGATAATGGAAGAAGACTCTCCTGGGGAGAAGGTAAAAAGATCACTTTTAGAGCCGCCTTTGTCTTTTGATCTCATGATGTCATAATTTAAAATAAATTGTATGCTCTTACTTTTAGGTATAATGATAAGAGTTGGACATCACAAATAAATATTTCATAGAAATGGAAGCCTTTACAAATTGTCATTGTAATATTCAACAAATATGTGACTTCATATTTCTGTTTTATTTCATGTATTTGTGCACATTATTGTATGATATTTGGTTGCTTCATCATAATTATGTACCAGTGTTGTCATGAATAAAGCTTACTTTTACATATTTTGCTGGTTCATATTGCTATGCATGAATTATGGTGACTGAGTGAAATTCCAAAGGGTTTTATATTGTAACAGTTGTATTTGTATTATTAATTTCCTTTGTTTAAATGTGATATTTACTTTCTTATCGCAACTTTAATCAGGCTTCCAGGAAATTGTGTAATGTATGTGTAAACAAACTTGTTGTTTTACCAGTTTACACCAAACAGAATGGGTACAGCACTTCATCTACATATTACTCATCGCCCACTGCACTTTGAAAAATGGAAAATTGTTGTTGCAATAAGCCTAATACCACATCATTATAATTGTTTACTTGAGCTTATGACATAATCTCTAAGTCTCATAAATATGATATTTTCATGAAGAAATTATGTCGTGTTGGAGAATAAGAAACAATTGGGCACAGAGAGTTTATTTATTTATTGTTACAAGGATGTTCTTGAATTAAAAGTTTCAGCACTTCAAAAATTATCAATTGCTCTAATTTTTGTGAGCCAAAACATTGCACTAATCCTGAAAGCTCGACTTTCATCATGAGAGGGTCTAGGGTGATACAGTACTATAAATATGCATATAACAGACTTTGGTGGGAAATGAAGTTATAACATACCTGACGTGCTTTTCTATTGAAGTCAGCATTCAATAATTAGGCAAATACAAAACAGTATTATGCCATATAACCCCTCCTTTTCAGCCATATGTGAATGACATAATAAAAAAACAAAAGAAAATAAGGACGATCACCAATTATATGCTAAATAAGAATGAATTTCAAACATCAGTTATTCTACTACTTCATTTCACAGGTCATTTACCTTTGTTTTTTGGCAGAGAGATTGCTTGAGATTGGTTACTGCTGACCAGTCAGCTTAAGCATTCTCTCCATGATAGTGCTGATATTAATGAACCAAAGTATGTACTTGGATCACTTTTTATCATATATGTCACTTCAATATTCTGTTTAGAACTGCCCATTCTGGTTTCATTTTATGGTCTACGAATATGCTTTATCCAGTTCAAGGGTTATAGAGACTATACATCCTGGATTACCAAGGGATAAAGCTGGTAATCGAGTATGGAGACTATATATGTGGACATTTTCTAAACAGAATAAAGCTAAGTCTTGTATTAAGCCTTTGTATTCCTCCTCGTTCTTGATCTGGGTTAGGCAATACATACTAGAAGGGGAGGGGTAACCAGAGACCTGATATAAGACTAATTGATGGTACATGTTGAATGTTAAAATGTTGAATGTTGTCATGATGATATGTGTTTTACCTTCAGACCCCGGGGCAACCGCCCAGCCAGACCGTCTCTGACATGTTTAGGGGGATGCTAACTACGGTAATTTCATTATTTATATCAGCATGTTACCTTTAACACTATTCCCAAGTATCAGTCTAAGCCCCTTTAATACCCACATTTCCAGTAGGTCCCTAATCATAGTTTGGTTTAGAGATAACTAACTTATTGGCATGTGGCTCTTTAAAACATCATATCTTTTGCCCTTTGACAATCATCTGACCTTTAAGTTTAGTAAAATAAAAGACATACGTTTGTATATATGTAGCTGGAACATGTCATTCAATGAACATATGACAATGATCTGGATTATCTTCCAATCTCCAATAATAGACAATTACATTTACATTTAATTGATTTTTAGTTCTAATCCAGATGTCAACATAACATTTAGCAATCATAATATCATAGTGCCCTCTGTAAGATCACTGTCACTACATTGACACACTTTAATTAGAGATTATTTTATGATCTAGTCTATATTCAATAACAATATGTAGTCAGATAATTATGAAACAAAATGTTCTAACCAAATTGGAGATTTTAAGATTTTCAGCACCAAAAATTTAAAATCATTTGACTACTCGTCACAGCACCCTCCTTTTGAAAAGGGTACCTTTCCTTAGACAGTTGCTAATTGGATTGAAGACAAATGTTCATAAACAGTTCTTTGTTTATTCTACTATATTATGCATATTATATTTTCTGAGGTAAAAGAGCATTGACATCTAATTTTGTAAATATTTGGTTGTGGGTGTTTCTCATTAGCTATTTAATAGTTTTTAAGTGTGATAAAAAGTGTGATAAAATTATACAGCATTTGTATTTTTTAGATAATGAATTATTTCTATTTTTATTTTAATTACTTCTGGTTTTGCATGTTTCTTATATAATGTTGAATTGCATGATTTCTTGCATTGAATGGTTGTTTATCAAAAGTAAAAAACACATAAGAAAACATGTTATTGATATATGTAGATACCACAGCTGAGATATTATGTAACCATAAATGCTCTTAGATTGTCGTTACACTTTTTTTCTTATATAAGGGTTGATATTAAAAGATCTCCTCTAATTTTATGATATTTACAGTATGATGCTCAGCACCAAAAAGTGTCAACTTGAGGTGAATCCTTGATTAATTCACGTGTACCTATTCTTGAGTCTGTGCACTAATCTGCCTCTCCATACATCATAAGAAATGTCTTATTGTGTATTTGGTATTATATGATTATACTGTGGGGAATTTCCATGTCTCGGTGTTATGAATAATTAAGAAGACTTAGGACTTATATCAAAGTCCAATGGTTTAATGAAGAATTGCCATTGATTTTTTGTCCATATTGCATGTCAACTAGAAAGACAGGCAACTCCAGTCTTAGACAAGTAAATTTTCTGACATTATATCCAGTAGAAATAGGTAGAGAAATAGACTAGCTGTCACATATACTCAAATGTCAATGTATTTTATCTTTGCGAAATCAATACTGGGGCATGCAAATATTTCAGTTTGATGATTTGTAAATTCTGTTGTTTTACATTATTTTTATAATGTTGACTTGAAATCATGTTCAGAAATGTTCTCCAAATCCTAAAGAAATAGATTATTAATTTCTTATTTTCTGTTTAATTTTTATGCCATGTGAACTTTTGAGTTATTTCTGTTCTAACATGAGAGATTGTTTAATACACATATACAGTAAAGCTTGTATATCTGAGCACCTGTCTAATCCGAACACTGCCCACTTTTTATCGGTCCCATTTTTTCCTCCCATTGACTCCCATGTTAAAAAATGTGAACACCTCTCAATTTGAACAGCGAACAGTCATATTTGAAAAATTAACCTGTCTAATCTGAACACTTTTCATAAAATTTCACACGTTTCATACAAAATTGCTCAAATATTGCTATGGTATCAAAACTTTGGGCAAAAACTTGAATGGACTTGATTATAATAGGGCTTTCCAGCATGACTAGATTCATTTGAATCGAATTTTCAAATTTCTGAAATGCCATTAAACTATGTGATCAAATGATCTATAAATATATACCGAGAATGTTCACATTTCTTCAGAATCTGGAATCTCGCAAATGCAAAAACCTCGAAATGTGAACACCTCCTAATCTGAACGCTTTAAGCCAGTCCCAATGGCATTCGGATTAGACAGGTTTTACTAAAGTCTAGATAATTGTTACAATACATAAATTGTCACTTTATTGTGGTAGATATGTTACACTTTGTATTCAATTATTAAGAGTCACTGTAATATGATAAACAGAAATTTAATGTATTAGTTTCAGCAATTTGATAATGCTGTAATCATATCATAATGATCAGACTTTTACCAAAAATATTTAAGATATTTTTTCTGTGGTGAAGATACATATTTTGTATGACATGAAGTAAAGTGATATGGAACACCTTCAATAGCATGTGGGTAATTTGAGGTGAACTGTATTTTAAAGTCTTCGGGGTTTACCTTTATTATACACAGTCAGGGTTAGGTGATCAAGGATGCTGGGGGAGGGATGAACATTAACATTGACAGGTTATGTAGAAGTTAGTAAAGTTGAATGGTAAAATGTTGAGGCTGTTTGGTTGTATTTGGTTGAGTCTCTGTTCTATCACCCTACGCACTTCTCATCTTCAGTTTCAAGTCCTGTTGCCACCAACCGATAGCTCACATAAGTACCTAACCTACATATTTCTCTTATAAAGCCTAAATACTAATTGGACGACAGGTATGCATGAGAGGTGCCAAGTTGATGTTCCTACCTATTTTTAACTTGGGCACTTCTTGCTCAATGGCATCTAAAGGCCATGTGTTCAGATTCACTGTTTCTGCTGCAGCTCTATATACCATCTAGAGACCCCTTACATCAAACATTATAGTGGTCTTACTTCAGTTGTAAATAACAAGGAATCTTAAGAACCAACCAAGAAATAGGGTGGACTAGCATTCATTTCTTTGTGCAACTTAAGTAATAACATACTCAGTGTGATCTGATTGGTGATCTCTAAAATTAATGGAAAGTTCGGAATTTTGAGACTGGATATTGTTTAAGAGTTGTCTATAATGCTAGATGAAGAGTGGCACTGCTGCGTTATAGCAGTATGTCCAGGTGAATCTGGTTCACCTTAACACAGGATGTAAGCACAAGTCTGCTTATTCCATTGCTTGCATCAACTACCTGTGTTACATCCCCCTCCCTCCTCATATTCTATCATCTTGAACTCTTATCGTCTTCATTATTTACAGCATCTAGTCCCCAGGGTAGGGCCCATCTTGTGGCACCCTGACAGGAATGCATTTTCAATCTGTTTAATTTATATTGTTTTATTAGAAGACAATAGAATTTGAATGTCTTCTTATCCAATAGTTGTTACCACATCAAAAACATAAAGCATTTTTACACTGGATGAAAACGCAGCATTATATTGCTTCTTAGCCTGTTATGGCACAATTAATAAGTGGTTGAATAAATGTTAGTTCGACCTTTGATATCTTAATCCAAACAGAAGCTTAAATGCAATTTCATTGAAATAAATATTTAGATCTTGTCACTAGTATAAATTTGACTCTCCTTCAGCAAGACCTATTTGTGGCAACTTTGTAAGTGTCCCAAGTATTGTTATCAGTAAGACCCTATAAGTAAACCCAGCTAATGTTATTTAACACACTTGCTATACCAGTATACCATGAACGGCGCCTTATACACTGGAACGTGTTAGAAAAACCAGTGTAAAAGTTATCTGAGTATACGTCTGTTGACTTATAGCTATTTATTCTACGTGTGACATTTGGTGATAAATAAAAGATACGCTCAAAGTAATCATATTGCAAGGAAAAAATGGTAGCAATGATAAAGTCTATTTCTGCAGCTTGCGTGATGCCATTTATGGCGACTTTCCCTGGCCCTTATTTCCGAAGACATATGGTGATTAAATCTAATGATGTGATAGATTAAGACTGGTATGGTTTGGTTTAGGTCTTGGGTACCTGTAGCAGGAAATATCTCTCAGCATGACTTCACAGAAGCTACTCATCATATATTACACTGGTCTCTTATCCTCATAATCCCTACTACTAGCATTAAAATATAGCTATTGAATTATGGGATATGGAAATTTACTTTTGAAAGATTATGTTTGAGTTCAAAAATTCCCTTAAGTTATGCTCCATTTGATCGAATTAATTGGCAATTAACAAAAAGTTATATCATTTTCATGTATTAAGAGGAAATAATTTTTTCGGTTTCTATTTATTTTGTGGTTACCCTCAAATCTTGTAAACTTCTTATTCTTTTGTGACTGATGTAATTTTGCTCTTCTAAAATTTCATTCACGTGATTAGTTGATTCATAATATCCATTCTCTTTTTCTCATTTAGACAAATATATTTGTCAGGTCTTCTGTACCATCCTCATTATTTCATGTCAATTTGTCTACTTTTCTTTGTAGATAAACAAGAGAATTTACGATGTTTCACTTTCTGCCTCCAGGGACCCCTGTATTCCCTTCATATGTTGGTCATTCTCATCTTACTCTCCAGACTAATTGGCCACAACCACAATGTCTTTACCAACAATAACTTTGGAACTTTTTGATCATTTTGGATGGCAGCCTTTTGCGCTGTAGTCCCAGGGCTGTATGATTTAGCTTTCCTTTTTAGTAGTTTGATTTCACTGTAAAAGAAAGCTTCTTCTACACAGAGGGTAGTAATTACTGCTTTTGCCCCCCCCCCTCCGATCTTACCATTGCTACTAAGACAGATGTTTTTATTTGAGAAAGGGAGAATAAGAGGGACCAATACTTTTGATCATACAGGGGTTAACTACAAAAACTTTTAGCTCAAAAACTTTTTTGATCATTAACAGCATTCATTTGTGACTGTCCATGTTTCTGGAATCTTGGTTATTACTCAAGTTATTTGCCATGGATGCTTGAGACATTTGATCTTTCCTATTTTTGATCCAGATAATCACTGCCATTACACTCTCATAAGCTACTTTGATCCTGATTATATCAATTTGCTAAACAGCTTATGTTATTTGGGCTCTTATATGTGGTTAAACTGGCATATCAATCAGCAGTAATCAATGGGAGTAGGAATCTAGATTTAAAACTGGTCTTTGGTGGACTACCAAAAATGTCCATGTTTTGACTGTAGTTGAACTTTAGGGACATGCTGCATGCATGTTTATATTTAGACAAACTGACAAATCATTCTAAGCCCAGGAGGGTAAACTAATAGATCAGAGATCTGTCTGCAGCTTCTCTCTGACAAAAAAGAACTGGAATAAGAGAAGACAGATTTTATGGGGGGAGGGGTTGCAGATGAAATAATTTTGTAGGGGTATAATTGTTTCAAGATTAGAGATGTAATATATTGAACCTAATATTCAAAAAGAAACATTACGTATACCCAGGGACTTATTTCAAGATACAATAATGGAAAAATGACAACTAATATGTTTTTCATTTATGCACACATGTGTTATTTGTATGTCATTGTTTTACTAATTGAAGAAATATGGAGGTGATTGATTTTGATCTCCATAAAAGGAGTGTTTAGAAACATCTGCATATCTGAGATGTGTCTGATCAATTAAACCAACATTCAACATGTCCTTCCTCTTCCCTCTACATGTCCTGTATATTGTACCATTGACAATACAGGCTTATTGGAATCATTAAATTGATTAAAAGCAATTCAATGAATTTAACAATTAATTTCTATCTTAACTGGGGAGATTCTGTTGTGAATGCAGCAGGATATCAGCATGTAATTCTTATATCATGTAATTACATGTGTGAATCAATTATATGACATCAAAAGACACTTCCAATAACTAGTAAACCATAAGTTCAATCTATGAATAATTAATTAGATGATTAATTGGGTATTAATTGGAATCATCTGACATGATGTCCATCACCCTCTTAGACATACCAACCAAAATACTTATCTATCTACCCTTATGCAACAGCTCAACTTTCACTTCACTCTTGAAATCAAAGACAATTATTGATCTTGTCTATATCCAATCAAACGATATTCAGAAAATCATGATACTAACTTTTCAAAGAAGATAATATTCATCAAATTCTACCTTGAGTGTCAGCGATTAGTAAAATAGGCTCATAGAAAAGGGTTATCTAACTTTAGTCTAACTATTAGTAATCATGATACTAATTTTAAAGCACTGTATATAGCACTTCCTAAAACTTTGGTTAAACTATGCATCAAATAATGTATTTTGATACCATTCAATTGATCAGAAACCTTTGTAGGTATAAAAGACAAAATTTGCATTATATATGATTCCTTTATGGTACAAATGCTAGGGTATGATGATATCATCATAATTATGCAATATATTTTATCACATATACTGTATGGTCGCCATACAGGCACATTAATAATTGAATGACTTAGTTGTTCTAAGTAAAGTTAGAAAGCATAATATGATGACACTGTTATATCTAGAATTAGAATAGATTGTACTCACTGACATTCGCTGCTGGTGATAAAGTATAAAGCAAAAAGTTGATTTTTATTTCATTAACAAGAAGTGTCCAATGGCATGTGTGAGAAATCATTGCACTTTTGCAACCAGGTAGTGTTATTATGTCATGTTCATAAAGTATATTGCATGGAGGCCATTACCCAAAATATCAAGAATTACAACCCTTGGAATATTCAAGAAAGTAATACTAGTTGGTAGTTGTATTTTAAAAAGATGGATGATTGTGATGAAGGTTTGCTGCTAGAGATGGTATGGTACAAGTACTTGAGTGATACATGGCGGGGACTGGTGGGCTATATCTTCCACTTAGTTCAGCTATTTTTACACAAATTCATCTAAAAGCAGCTGACAGTGTACCAGATATGTACTACCAGCTCCAAACATGGCTTGCCATGTCAGGACATTGGTGCATTACATACACCCCTCACAGATTGGTAATTGATTAGGAACTCATTGTTCATGATCAAACTGGTCTACCATCTTGTGATGTCCTTGTTATTATTGCAACTATGAAGACTATCTGAATATAAATTTGAAATTAAATACAGTATTTATCATTATGAAAATAGTTCACTTTTTAAAAAGTAAATCAATTGAATTTTTAATCAACAAAAGCCTACTATTAAGTATTATTTTATGAGGAAAGTTATCTCTGTTTCGGAGCTTGAAGTTTGTACAGAGAACTCTCAAACGTTTTGACGCATCATTCTGACAAACAGAAATCCAAAGTCTGAATACATTTTTTCCAAGAAGTGACATTGAGTTCTTCCAACTTTAAGGTAGAGTACCCGAGATAGCTATTTCTACCAAGTGCTAGCTATATATCAGATAGTCTGTCTCTGCTACAGTTGTGCTTGCTTAGAATGATGTGTCAGAAAGTATACCTAAATATAGAATATATCACGCGATACTCATCCATATATGTTTCAATAGTCGTTCAACCACAGCTACTACGTCATTGGCTTTTTGTTGTTTCATAAAATCAAAATTTGACATTGTAATATCTTTTTAATGATGTTTCATGCACAGAAAACTTTCACTAAATTATACTATTTATTTCGTGTAAAATATGAATAGATTCAGACCTATCACCATTCCCAAGTGCAATATTTCTCTTGTTCATTCAATTAAGTGATTATAAATGTTATGTAATAATAGTAATCAGTTGATGCTTACAATCTGCCTGCCTGATGTATTTTGAAACCAATTATATTGTAATGCATACATGACCTTTTCAAATGAATACAAAGTTAATTCATATCTTTTAGTCACTTCTCATATTTCTGCATCTTAAATCTCAAATAATTTCACATTTGGACAAGATACCGGTACATGGATCCTTTTACGAATCATATATTTAATAAGAAGGTAGATACTTGTATAAAGGACATGTGAATTGGTTTATTTATAAATGCTACTTTCAGTTTGATCATCTTTTATATTTCTGATTCTTACTTTAATGTTTATTTTATTATGTGTTGTAGGCCATCCGCTGCACCCTTCCCACTTGTAGATGTGATTGTTTCGCCCCTGGGAAGGCACATATGCGAACATGTGACAACTGCCAACATGGCTGGGTTGCCCACGGTAAGATATTTTATTTTTATGTCACTCAATAAGTGGTGACATATTGTTTAGCCGCTACATTGTATTTGTTTTGGTGATGATCCCCATACCTCTCCCTATATCTTTTTTGCAAAAACGGGAATGGAGAGGGGACTTTAAACTTAAGACTGATTTGGTGATCAATCATTAGTTGTCTTTTGTTTCAATCATCAGTTTTTATCTTGAATGTCCATCTTGAATTTCCAAGATATGACCTGGTTACTGGATGTGTTAGTTGTCTGAGACAGAAAACCAGAAAGCAGTAGCAAAAGGTAGCATTTATTCTGGTTCAACTCAAGAAGGATTGGCTCCCAGGATCGAAATTCAATATTTTCTAACAATGAAAATGTCGAAATGTCGTTATTTTCTGAAATTATAACTGACAATAAATTCAAAATAAAAAGTGCAAAATATTTGAACCAATATCTTGATCTTTTTTGTGAATTTTGGAATTTTTCGTTCAGAAATAAGACCAAAATGCACAATTCTAAATTTTGAAGTGAACAAAATGGTGGCTGTTTGAATTCGAATTTTGTAATCACGACATGGCCATATATGGCAAAAATATCAATGTTGCACTCTGGGAGCCAATCCTCCTTGGTTTCAACTGACACACTCCCCAGATTTTGATGGTCCAATCATTGTTAGTCACATCAATAAGCAACTGGTGGCATTCATCAATATGCCAGGAGGAGCATATGTCATGGCACTATATCATTCAAAATGGACATTATCATAATCACCTCTCAAAGCCACACCTGTATAAACCTCTACCCTCTCTCCCCCAAATATGTCCCCCAAACTGTGTTAGATGTAGAATAGTAGAGGACATTACTCGATTCAAACCTAAAAAACATACTATTTGATTTTAATGAAAACGTTAGAAATGAGTTATCAAAAGGCATTTGGGTACACTTAATCAAAATATTAATTCCTGTTACAAAATGTAGACTTTATCTTGGCAGATATTGTTTGATTACGATGTACTTAAAGACGTCATCATTGATCAACCCAACACATCACTTTGAAAAGTAATCCTGCCACATTTATCATTTTTTTAAATTTTAGTTCATGAGAATTCTCTCTCTCTTTGTCATCAGCCAGTGGATAACTATGGCAATTGTTAAATAAATATTGTCATTGTTTAAATATTGTCATTGATGATGTCAATATAAGTAAGTCATATATATATCAACGGAGCCACCAAAGATACAAACATCTGTTAATTCTCATTGATCCCTTTGATGGCTATCTGCATGGACATTCTTTCTCTTGTTCCCAGACCTCATAACTCTTCAGGGCCTTGATGCGAAGTGATAAAAACTAAGTAGAGACCAGGCACACTGAGATGTCTAAAATGTGTGTTAATGCAAAGCTCTGTGTGAATTCTGTGTATGTTAGGTACAGTTGAAGGCTCCTAAGAAAAAACATCCGTCAAGATGTCAGATAGAATGCAAGCCAGATGGTACCAATACCCAAGGATGTTCATACAGAAGCTATCTCATGGGTATACTACAAATTATGGATTTCAACAGAATAAGAAAGTTAGAAACAAATGATATAAATTACCTTTTAAGTTATGGACCAAATCTCAATTTTAAATTATATTCACTAGATTATATAGATGATGACCTGGTTTTGTTTTAAACTTTAGGGTTAGTTTAGGAAAAGTATTTTTCTTGATTTCCAGTTTTTGGATCCAACCAATGGAAATAGAGGCTGTTGATGGTTGCCCAAGTGTTTTTTGACTGCATTCTAGAGATGTATATAGCCCAGTTTAGCTCACAGTCCTCTCAATGTATTTCTACTCACCATCAAGTTATCTCGCCTTGTGTCACTTTATATAGTACAGCTACTTCGGGAAATAAATTACCAAAAATATAAGCAGAGAATCACATTTTATGAGGTTATCATAGGAGTTGTCTTTTGTGAAGTTCTTGTGCTATTTTATACCTGTAATGCAGGACATTTCACTTAAATGTATGTTGCAAGATCTCTCTAGAATGTGGCTTCTGCACCTACATGATTTTACTTGGCTCTGATTTTTCATTGAGATTTTAACTTGACCTTAACTTCCAATTGTGTTTTAATTATCAAGTCATCTTGTTTTGGGAATAGGGAGTCCCTGCTAACAAACTGGACTCTTGATTATTTTCTATCAACATCTGCGTAACATTAGATTTTAGGTCAGTTGATAGAGTAGGCTCAATTAGAATCCTTCTAGTCTCAAATGGATTCCTTATGTACCTCTGTCATTCTCTTATATACCTTAATCAAGCCCCTGTGCACCTCCATCAAAACTATACAAGTTGTAAACACTTTTGATTACAAAAAAATTAATGAAAAGTTGAAAACATGATATGATTAGTGACCCATTGTCGCTAGTGGCCTAGTGTATTTCTATAGATGGAGGCGAATACCAGAATACCTCCTCAATTGAGTCTCTGATTGGATGTTTCTGAAATAAGTTGGGCAGATTGTATTGCCTGTATTGTGAAGGTCATATGGGTATATGATAAATAATGATATATTGATGCATATATGCACTTACAGAGACAACATTGGTCATTTTCTTTGATCCATCAGTGTCAGATTATGTGTCATCTGATAACAAAAATGAGTCTGGGTATCCTCTTTGGTCATCTGATAATCTTCTTTCGGCCATTCCGGACCAATTAATTGTCTTACATGATGGTCACTAGGCATTGTGGTTAGACCACTTTTATGGCCATCTTGGGAAGCTGAAATACCTTTCTATCTTTTCCAGCTGTTCTTCAATTCTTTTTACAGCACAGTGAATGCCATATAGGGACCTTGTGCTGCTTAGCATACTTCATCATATTTTATCATGACATCATCTCAATCAGAGGTATTGTTTTGTGAACTAGTGAGAAGTACTTTTCCATGTGTCTAGACATTTTATCTGTTACATCGTCATCAATTTCAAAGCGTTATCTGGACATTTGCTCCATACTTGGAATCGGATGATTTTTGATTTGGAATATGATTTTATAATTCAACATTCTATTGAAGACATTCTTCTGGTGTCAGTTTTACACCCCCTTCATTTTGGCAATTGGAAGTCCCTATTGGATAGATGTTAATGTTTGAATCTTAATTTTGCTTCTTAATAATTATAGGTCAGAGATTTATTGACCAATGAATTTGGAAAATCACCAAACATGAATAGGCTTTCAAACATGATTCCAGTTTTTGAATGCTGGTTGTTTAATAGTATTTGCCCAAAGTTTGAAAATTTGTAGATATGTCATCTTCTTATTTGTCATTGATGCATCTTTTGAAATCTTTGCATATCAAATTGACCCAAATGAAAAAAACAAAAATTGCATTTTTAATTATGCATCATGTTATTGAGGGACTTTTGGGAGTCTTCTGCTTGTACCATATAATAAATGGTTTACTGTAAAAGATTTGTTGACACATGTTCTAATATATCTACCAACATCAGATGCAATTTGAAAATGAATGGAAATTGTAGAGCAAGCAGCTGACTATAAGGTTGACAAATAATTAATGAATATATTGTACAATTACACTGGTACACTGCATTCATTACCTAATGTTAAAAATAACACGCTTGTCATTTTAATCCTTGACATTTCTCTCTTTATTTACTCATATGATTTGCATATTTTCTGGTATTTCGTATATATAATTTCTAGAACTGACAACATGTTTATATTGCTTTAATATGCTTTTCTCATTTGATCTTGTTTGCTGTTTTGCAGTTTGAAAATTGATTTGATATTTTATCCATGGAAAGGCTTGTGATTATGTGGACAATTTTATATTCATAATTTAGTTCATTTTATACATGGTATGCAGATAAGTAGATTGTGCATGCTAAAACCATATGCCTGATAATTCTAATGAATATTGGGGACATTTCATGTATTAACTTATTGCAATTTATTTTGCCATTGGAATTTTATTGTAAAACATGTAAAATGAAGGTTTGTACTATCAAATATCATTGTTTGACATTTGTTGTTTGCTGTACTTTATTAATGTAAGCCTAAATAGTCCTTTGGGAAAGATTAATAAGGCAACCATTGTCTAATTTAACCCATATAGGACTTTGTGATATTACATTGGACAGATGTAGTATCCAATTATTACTCTCAGCATATAAAAGTAAACTGGACATCAAGAAGCAATGTGAAGATGTTTTGGTATCTCGCATTTTTGCTCTTATTAATTAAGGTATGGTACATGCAAGTGTAATTCATGGTTTTTGTCCTTGTTTATGCTCTCATCTCCATGGTAATTCAACAAACAAAAGTGATGCCAACCAGTATTGATCGGTCACTGCTGTAATATAATAACATGCCACTCTGTAATTAATGTCTGTGTGATCAGGACAATGCGTCATGTTCTCACGCTTGCATATATTGATTGTCAACTCAAACTTTCTGCTGTCCTGCTTGCTTCTGTGTTGGAATTTTAATCACTTCTTCGACTGGAACACTCTCCGTCTGAATTCATGTATTGATTTCTGTGTTTGTTTTGTGGGCTTCTGTAGAGTGCATAACTCGAGTTCAAATTATAGTACACTTTGTCTATTTTATGTCATTTCTTTCAAAATGTTGAATGAACTGTTTGCTGTTTTGTCATTTCTGTGCAGTTGGAGTTATTTATTTTATATTTTGCTAATTTCACGTTCTATTTTGGTATTTTGAAACATGATCACCAATTCATTTCATATTGGAGATTATTGGTTGGAAGAAGTCACCAATGAATTGTCCAATGCTTTTGCAACCACTTTAGTTAATCACTCTTTTTGTATTAGTGAAAGTGATACCATGCTTGTCACATTTTTAGGTGGTCAGAAAATGTATATTATTATGTGTATTTGGGTCATGTATGTCTTTGATGACATCAATATGACAAAATAAGAAAGACATAAAATACAATAGAACAGGCCCGTAGCCAGGATTTGCCAAGGGAAGGGGGCACTTTTT